AGATGGCAGAGAGCGCCAGGGTCCCCCCATCGCCCCCGCCTCACCTTGAAGGATGCACCTCCTGTGACAGAATAACAGTAGCAGCAGGATACACAGAAACAAGGCTACAACTCCGACTATAACTCCAGTCTCCAGCTGTGAATTGCCTGAGGAGGGAGAGGGAGCGGAGGGCAGCCCAGGTCTGGTGGGCACTGGCTCTCCGGGAACCGGGACCTCCCCACTGTTCTCAGTACCTGATTCTCGTTTGACACATTTGAGGTTGCTCCAGGGGGTGCAGGGCTTGGCCTGGACCATGCCATCAGGACATCTAGGTACAGACATGGGGAGGATATAAAGGGGTTCTGTGAGGTAAGACAGAGAGAAAGAGGGTACAACCTCCCACCCAGTGTCCCCTGACCAGAGAGTGGAGGAAGAGCAGGCTTCTCCTGTCTGCACATCGGGTCCCCTCACCCCCTTGCTGGGTTGGAGAAGGAGCCGGGCATGGCACTTCAGCCCGTAGGGCTCCCACTGAGTGTTCAGAGCGGCACCCTCAGGAGCTGGGCCTTCTGGTGAGGCTGCACTGAGCTTCTCCGGACTGCAGGGGGAGCCCGCGAGAGGGGCTATCTCAGTCCAGGTCAAGGGTCAGAAACCCTGTGGGCAGGAGCTGAGCCTCATCCTTCAGTCAACCTTTAATACAAGGCACCTCTTTCTTCCCCCTGTTGACTGTCCTTACAATCACAGCCAACACTGGAGGTCAGAGAAGAGCCTATTGGCCTCTAAATCTCAATAACAGGGAAAACAGTCTTATTGAGGGAACTGGGGCCTAAGGGAAGGCAGGCTGAGGTGGCTCAGGGCTTTATGGGACCCTTGAAAGAGCTACAGGCTCAGGCTCATTATGGCTTGGCTGTGGGCACGTTTGTGTTCATAGCTCATGACTGCACAAAAAAATGTTCAAAAGTACATTTTATGATTAAATCGTTATGAATATAAACATGGCTGTGGTCTACTCAATTCTTTCCTTCTAATATCAAAAGAAACTAAAACTTTTCATAGGCAACCGACAGGATCTTGGGCCCTAATTAACAGCCTACTGTGCCCAATGGAAAGTTCAACCTGGCCATAGGGAAACTGCTGAGGTGTGGGAAGGGGATGCCGCAGGGGACAGTGTGAGGACAGGCAGATGGACAAGGAAAGGCCACTGCAGGCTCAGAAGGCCCACAGGCACAGGGAAGCCCTGACAGGATGGCCGTGCTGCATGGGAGCAGGAGACAGGGGTACAAGAAATTGGGGTCTTCTGTGGTTGGGGACCCCCCCTTGGCTCTCGTGTCTTACTCAGTGCTGCACTTCTGGCAGAACTCAGGAGACTCTTCTCCCTGGTAAGTGCCAGGTTTGCACTGACACTGTGTGTCCTTCGTCCTGGTGCATGGAGCTATTTCTTCTTTTCCTGAAGACAAAGGATAAGGTTTTAGGGATATGTTTCCCTCGCGTGTCCCTCAACCTTTTTCGACCACCCGAACTCCCTCCCACTCAGCTTCACTCAGTTCACTATAGATCTGAGGGTCAGTTTCTGCAACAGCATGTGTGGGGCACATAAAGGACCACTCGTCCCTGGTACTCAGACGTGTATAAAAAAGACTGTGATTCATTGTTTAATACATCAGGATTGGGAGGAAATATCCATTAGCTTACAGGTCACTAAGAAGGGCAGGGTATATCTGAGAGACCCTGGATGGAGAGGAACCCTTGGGTGACTTCCAGCTCTGCTGGAGAGGCAGAGGGGCCTTAGGCCGTGAAGGCTGAGGGAGGCTGAGCACCCACCAGGAGCACAGAGCACAGGTCTAAGAGGGACCTGGCCCAGGTGCAGGCCCTCGTCCCAGCTCCAGGAAGCACTTTTCCACTTGGCCACATCTTCTTTGCTGTAACTATAGAGTCTCCGCATCGAGGGACAGACTGTTAATACCGTCATCCGATGGTTTAAAAGATGTCCCTACTGTGTGGCATGCATTGTAAAAATCATTTTTATTTTTATTTATTGATCTAAGACATAATCATGAAACAGGTATGACGGAGACCATGAAGAACTGGAATCCAGGTGCCCTGATTCCATGCTGAATACAATTCCTACCTTATCACTCCAGCACTTGGCATGGGGTCCCCGTATTAGTACCTGACTTACAGGTTGTACACGGTAAGCAGGAAGAGAGTTGATTCCAATGAATGGTATAATCCACTTCGTCTGTACAGTTTATACATTCTTTATCATCTTCGCTGACGTGCGATCCTGACAAAGAGAGAGAAAATCTGGTGCGTGAATCCCCACAGGATTGCTGGAAGCTGGCAGTGGTGGCTGGGGGACGCCTCTTTTTGGTCATCAGAGGACTCCATTCTACCTGATGTTGGCCAGTATATTAATTCTGCAAGTACTATACACTCTTGACCAGCATTGCAAAAGAAATACGTTATAAACCAACATAAAATTGAAATATTGTAGGAGCCACGTTAAAAGAATAGAGGGAAAAAGGTCAAATTACTTTTAATCAATATATTCAAAATAACATCACTTAAAGATGCAATAAATATATAACATTCAGATATTTTATATTATTTTTTCAAAATATGACTTAGAATCCAGGGAATATTTCTCCCTTACATCAGTCGCCATTTCAAGCAGGCCTATTTCAAGTGCTCAGAAGTCACCAGGGCCTAGTGACTACTGCATTGGACAGCACTACCCAGGTCCCTGGAAAGTCACAGAAGAAAGTCTTAATCTCTGTCCTCAATGAGCTCCAGGTCAGTAGAAGACACAAACAAGATGAGAAGTAATACGACAATCAGGGACAAGCCTTCGGATAAAGTTCGTGCCATTTGCCATGGCAAGAAGATGATAGGAAAAATGAGTCCTGTGTGTAGAGTCGAAGAATGACCCAAAGAAAGGGGGCTCTGAGCCCTGGAACACACAGGTGCTCTCCAGGCACTGAGCTGAGACCGTGCAGAAGCTCTCGCTAACCAGGAACCCATCCATGTCTGAGGCTAGACGGTCCCCTCTAAGACTGCTTTCCCAGGTGACCTCACTCTCCCCTGCAGGATCAACCTCTCCCACTCTATTCATTTCTTTTATTGCAGTAAAATATATACAACATAAAAGTTGCCATTTTGCCACTTTTAAGTGTTTAATTCAGTGGCATTAATTATATTCACACTGTCGTGCAACCATCACTACCATCTATTTGCAAAAATACTTTTCGCCCCAAACAGAAACTCTTATTAAGTAATGACTAACTCTGCATTTCCTCTTCCCCCTTGGCCTCTGGTAACCACTTATCCATTATCTGTATCTGTGAATTAGCCTATTTTAGATATTCTCTATAAGAAATCAGAAAATAATTGTGTTTGGCTTACTTCACTTTCCATATGTTTTGTGTGTGTGTGTGTGTGTGTGTGCGCGCGCGTGCGCCCACCTCTCACCCCTACTCTTTATGTTGAAGTCCCATTCCCCAGTACCTCATAATGTAATCTATTAGATGGCAAGTTCTTTAAAGAGGTGATAAAAGTTAAAATGGGGCTGTTAGGGTAGGGCCCTAATCCAATATGACTAGAGTTCTTATAAAAGAAAGACACACCAGAGAGGCCAGAACACAGGGCGAAGAGGCAATAAGAGGGTGACAATCTTCAGGCTGAGGAGAGAGGCCTCAGAAGAACCCAGTTCTGTTGGCACCTTAATCTTGGACTGCTGGTGTCCAGAATTGTGAGAGAATTAATTTCTGTCGTTCAGCCGCCTTAGTCTGTGGTATTTTGTTATGGCAGTACCAGCAAACTAATATAGGATCTACCACTTTCCATGTTTTTGAAGTTCACTCATGTCGTAGCATTTATCAGACCTTCATTTGTTTTTAAGGCTGAATAATATCCCATTGCATATCTATGACACATTTTGTTCATCTATTCATCCACCAACAGACATTTGGGTTGCTTCCACCTCTTGGCTATTGTGACTGATGCTATGAACTTGGGCATGCAAATATCCCTTTGAGATCTTACTCGCAATTCTCCTGGATATATATACCCAAAAGTGAAATTGCTGGATCACATAGCATTTTAATTTTTTGAGGAGCCACCATACTTTTTTTCATGGTGGTTGCACCATTTTATATAAAGCAAGTTCATTTTACAATCTCACCAACAGTGCACAAGTGTTCCAATTACTTTACAGTCTCACCAACACTTATTTTCTGTATCGTCGATTGTAGTCATAATGGGTATGAAATGATATCTCATTGCGATTTTGATTTGCATTTCTCTTTGATTAGTGATGTTGAGCATCTTTTCATACGCTCGTTGGCCATTTGTACATCATCTGTGGAGAAATGACTATAGTCCTTTGCCCATTTTCTAATTGGGTTGTTTGTCTTTTTTGTTGCTGAGTTGTAGGATTGATTGATATATTCTGGGTATTACACCCTTGTCCGTTATTTGATTCACAAATATTTTCTCATATTCTGTGGGTTGCCTGTTCATTCTGTTGATTGTGTCCTTTGATATAATTTTTAATTTTGATGTAGTTCAGTTTATCAATATTTTTCTTTTGTTGCCTATGCTTTTAGTGTCATATTAAAAAAAAAATAGCCAAATCCAAAGTCATCAAGAATTGCCCCTATGTTTTCCCATAAGATTTTTTAGTTATAACTCCTTTGATTCATTTTGAGCTAATTTTTGTATATGGTGTAAAAGGGCCCAGCTTCATTTTTTTCATGTTGGATATCCAATTTTTCCACCACTAGTTGTTGAAGAGACTCTTCTTTTCCCATTGAATGGTCTTTGCATCGATGTCAAAAATCAATTGACCATCGATATGAGGATTTATTTCTAGACTCTCAATTCTATTCCGTTGGTCTATATTCTTATCCTTAAGCCAGTACCACACTGTTTTGATTACTGTACCTTTGTTGTGGCTTTGAAATCAGGAAACGTGAGTCCTTCAACTTGGTTCTTATTTTTCAACATCGTTTTGGTTATTTTGGGTCCCTTTTAATTCCATATGAATTTGAAGATGAATTCTTCCATTTCTGAAATTTCACCATTGGGGTTTTGATAGCAATTGCATTGAATCTGTATATCATTTCATGTAATATTGTCACCTTAACAATACTGTCTTCCAACCCATGAACTTGGAAACTCTTCCTGTTTATTTGGGTCTTTTAAAATTTCTTTCAGCAATATTTTGTAATTTTCAGTGTAAAAGTCTTATACCTCCTTACTACATTTATTCTTAAGTATTTTATTCTTTTTGATGCCTTTGCAAATGGAATTGTTTTCTTAATTTCATTTTGAGATTATTCATTGCTAGTGTATAGAAATAGAACTGATTTTTATGTGTTGATCTTATTAGTTCTAGCAGGTTAGAATTCATTTGTTCATTCTAACAGGGTGTTTTTGTTTTTGTTTTTTTTTTTGGTGGGAAGGAGATGTGGATTCTTTAGCTTTTTACTTATAAGATCATGTCATTTGCAAATAGAGATGTTTCTACTTCTTCTTTTCCCATATTGATGCCTTTACTTCTTTTTCAATTGAGATGATCATGTGTTTCCCCCCTCTATTTGATTAATGTGATATATTACATTGATTGAACAATTAGCTCTGGATAAAACTTCCAACACTATGATGAATATAAGTGGTGAAATTGGGTATCCTAGTTTTATTCCTGATCTTATAGGAAAAGTTTTCAGTATTTACTATTGAAATACTAATTTACTATTGAGTTATCATTTGAAAATGTTATCATTTGAGAAAGTTCTCTCCATTTTTAGTTTATTGGGCATTTTTGTCATGAAAATGTATTGGATTTTTTCAAATGCTTTTCAGCATCAACTGAGATGATCATGTGTTTTCCCCCTTTATTTGATCAATGTGATATACTACATTGATTGAGTTTCATATATTGAAATATTGTTGTATTTCTGGGATAAATCCCAGTAGGCTATGCTGTATAATTCTTTTAATATGCTGCTGAATTCAGGTTGCTACTATTTTCTTGGTGATATTTTACATTTATAGCCATAAAAGATACTGATCTATAGTTTTCTTCCAACATCATTGTTTGGCTTTGGTGTCAAGGTAATACCGATTTGTAGAATGAGTTAGGTAGTGTCCCCTCTTCTACGGTATTTTTCAAAGAGTTTAAGAAGGATTAGTGTTGATTCATTTTTAAATATTTGGTATAATTGCATAGTGAAGCCCTATGATCCTATGGGTTTTTCTTTACTGGGAAATTTTTGATTGCTGATTAAATCTCCTTACTTGTTATAGGTCTATTTAGACTTTATATTTCTTCTTGAGACAGTTTTGGTAGCTTATGTTTTATATCCATATCACCTAGGTTGTCCAATTTTTGGTACACAGTTGTTCACATTATTTTCTTACAAACCTTTTTATTTCTGTACAGTCAGTAGAATGTCCCTTCTTTCTTTTGTAATTTGAATATCCTTAGCCAATATAAAGTTTGTCAATTTTGTTGGTCTTTTCAAAGATTCACATTTTAGTTTCGTTGATTTTCTTTTTCTATTCTCTATTTCATTTATTGCTGCCTTAATCTTTAATCCTTTCATGCTTTTGCTAGCTTTTTTCTTAGTTTGATCTACTTTTTCTATTTCCTTAAAGTGTACTATTATTTACTTGAGATTTTTCTTTTTTTAAAATTTTGGTCTTTACAGTTATAAATTTCTCTGAGTACTGCTTTCACTGAATTCCAACTGTATGTTATGTTCTTGTTTTCTAAGGTATTTTCTAATTTCCTCTGTGATTTCCTTTTTGGCATAGTGGTTGTTTGATATTAGTTGTTTCATCACTGTGAGTTTTCCAGTGTTCTTTCTGTTATTGATTTCCAACGTCATTCCCATTTTGGTCAACGAAAAAACATTGTATGATTTTAATTTTTTTAAATGTATTGAGAGTTGTTTTCAGGCCTAATATATAGTCTACCTTGGAGAATATTCCATGGCCACCTAAGAATGTGTACTCTGATGTTGTTAGGGAGAATTTTCTGTATATGTCTTTTAAGTCTAATGGATTTATACTTTTGTTCAAATCTTTTATTTCCTTTTGATCCTCTATCTGGACATTCTAGGCATTTCTGAAAAGGGATATTGTAGTACCCAACTAGTATTATTAAACTGTCTATTTCTCTCTTCAAGTCTT